GACGCGGATATAAACACTGTTGATACAACGCCGCGTACATGTGCTACACCTATCCCGGGTATCGCGCCTGTAAAGCGATGTGTTTCTTGGACGCCGCAATGGTAGTGAGAGCAAAAAGTGCGCGTGAACGTTTAAAGACGAATGAAAACTTAAAGGACAGCAATTCGGAGAAACCTGACGGTTGTGAGGCCGTGTTTGCGTATGGTTTATTTTTTTCTTGTCGTTTAAACGAGAGGACGCTCCAAGACCAGGCGCTGCGAGGACAGTGTTTGTTTTCTGCACCAGAGGAACGGTTGAACAGATGTACAGTTCCCTCCCGGCTGACGTGGTACCAGCCGACGCTTCGAAAGTTCGAGCCCACGCATGCCGCTTTCCAGACGGAGGAACGCTCGCCCGAGCGTTGGACAGTTGGCGTGACGATCTCCGGCCGCGGGCGAGAGCTGCAGTAGCCTCAGAAACATGCAGGAGACTGTGAGTCCAGTGAGCCTGACCTGGGTCCTTGTAGTAGTAGAAGGTGATTCTTAATCAGTGGAGCACAAGTCTGCGAGTTACAGTGAAGACTACATAAGTTAAAGCAACTGGGGGGAAGGTAAGCCTCTGTTTCTGCTTGCGCTAAGACATAGTTGTAGACATCCCTTCGCATTCCAAAGGATGCAAGAAAGGGGGTTTAAATAACAAAAAAATCTGCGGTGAACCAAAAAGATGAAATAGAAGAGAGATAATAAAGGAGTGGGTTACATTGACAAATTTATCATTAATATATTATAACAATGTATTGCTGGCCACCATGGCTTCAAATTATTTGCTAATTTCTCTTTAGATCTGGAGAAGTTTCTTGTTTTAATGAGGATAAGGCAGTGTGTACAACGTATAAATAAGAAATGGTTTCTTTGTTTTGAGGGAGAAAAAATTAGTTTGTGTAATTATGGAGGACGGCAAATACAAATTAGTAAGGAGGGTAGAGAGCGGTCTCTTGTGACTGTAGTGTAGTAATTAGTATCAAGGAGCGTAATAGAATGAAGGCTGATTGTCATAGTAAACATCAGAATTATCGTGCTCAGTGTGTCTTTTGTGAACAAGGTTATATTTCTTCATTCCTAACAAGACAAGACTGAGCACAATATTTCTGTTGGATTGTTGTTACAGAAGCATTTTTATTCTGAATGTATGTACTGAAGCTAAAGAACTGGTTTCACGTAAACCGAGCTATTTCAGGCAGCAGTAAAAGGTCACCAGGACATGTAATAATCTAAGCTGACAAAGGGCCGCTGAGAGGCTTTGAATCCCCAAGTGATGCTGGCATGAAGCTGCTCACTCAGGCAAACAAGGGACAAACTGGTTGGACTCGCTTAATGGTAGAGTGGAGTTAAATCGTTGGAATTGTGAAGCTGGGTACTTCGTAACCAAGCATGGCAGAACTTAAAAACTATCCCCCGGGACGAGTAAAGAGTTGTAAAATAGACATGGATGCAGCCATACTTCTGTGACAAAACACAGTCCTTTTGTGTGGTTTTTAGTATTCTGAAGTATTTTAAGCGCTTGAAGTGCCAGGACAGCCCTGTAGAGCAGCAGACGGCCAGCGAGGTACATCTCGACCACAGAAGACATCTATTTTCTGTCACGCTCGGGACACCTCTTATTACACCAAGCTGAACAATTTGCTTCCAGGCTGTTCAGCATGTTGATGGGATCTTTTGACTTTTTCCCTCCTCCCCGTTCAGCCTGTTACGGACGGCCTCGGATGTTCTGGGATTAAGGTAACAAAAAAGAAAAAAAAAAAAAGAAGAGAAAAAAAACAAAAAAAAAAAAAAAAAATGTTACCATTTGTTCTATAGATCAATATGTTTTACCTATTATATTTGATTTGGTTTGACCTTTATTAAAAATGTTTAGTCCTCTCTGATCAGTTGACTTCACTGCTCTGATCACACAGCCGTCTCATGTTTTCTTCCGTTCAGTCGCCGCCTGTCTGCTGCTTCAAGCTCTCTGTTTACAAATGACGGCAAAACAAAAGCCATCGTGAAAATCCTCCGGGAGCAACAGCAGGAGGTAGGTACGATACAAAACGGTGAAGTCTTGTGTTTAAAGAACTATTAGCCCACTACAGCTTCTTCATGCTTCCCTTATTAAACATGAATATATTTAGCATTCATGATGATTTGGTTTCATTATTGTTGAGTGATTATGAAGTTGTAAACAGGGACTATTTTAAAAGATCCTCTTGATAAATACAGTCCACTGTCAAAGTTAAATGATTCATGATCGTCCTCTTAATATGGTATAATATCTGTCTAATATATCTTCATGGATTTTTTTGTTTTGTTTACTTCTCTAACATTAAGTTCAAATTTATCATGACCCAAAGTCAGAATGCCCACAATTGTGAGAGTAAGACCTAGTTTGTAGGTATTTCTAAAGATGTAAAGATGTTTGTAAAGACATTAGAAATTTGAGAGTTGGCTGCTGACAAGATTATCATTCAAATACTACATTGTCAGAAAATGAACCTTGGAAGACGAAGAGAAGACAAACAAGGTAGTTGTGAAAAGGACGATGTGAATTAGAGCCTGATTGATAAAATCATATGAACTTATCACAGATATATCTTTACATGTCAGCCAGTAAAGTTTAATACAGAAATGTGAAAGGTATGTTTGTGATCGTTTAGAAATGGTGTCCTTTTAAGTTTGTCCACCAGAGAGTGCTGATAAGTTTTTTTGGTTTTTCCAACTATAAAATGTTCCTTCTCTACATCACTCAGTTACAGTTCTTTAATAACATAATTTAATGTGACCCTTGTTATAAATAATAATAATGTGAAAAAAACTAATATTTCTTTAAAATATTGCTTAGTGTTAGCTTGAAAACTCCAGTATTGGTCAGGCTCTGTTGTGAATGTGGTAGCTTCTTGCATTAGAAAAGGGCCCTTACAGGTGTAACCGTTCACTGATAGTGTACATTTTAATGTGAAGTGACTATATTTCACCCAACATGATCAAGAAAGTTTAGAAATTGTTAATGATTCCATACTGAAAGTCTGCCTGTAAGGTGGGAATATAAAACTGATGTTTTTGTAATCTGTTTAAAACTTTTTGCTGCTCGTTCTCTGTGAATTATTGTTCTACTGTTGCTTTTTAGCTTTAATATTTCATTAACAAATATGTTAACTAACAACTTAATTTTATTTTCCCGTAGCAATATAACTTCCTCCATGAGTTTCGGGAACGGTACGCAGCCTACCAAGAGAGCAGAGAGGCGTCTACAGAGCGCTCGGTGTCTCGGTGATTGCTGCTCTTTTCTTCAAATCATGAGCTGTGAAAATATTGATCTCTGCAAACTGTTATTTGTTAGTGATTCTCTCTTGAGTGTGTGATATAATTGTATTCTCTGACTTTAACAGAATACTCTAATATATTACTTTTTTCACCCTCATTGTAATCAAATTAAAGACTTGATGAGGAAATCCTGCTGGAGCGTTATTAGTCAGTTTAAAATGCTGTTTGCATTTATATCACAATTACAATAACCTATCTATACTCTATTTTGAATTGTATACTTGAAGAGATAGATTACCAAAATAATTTATCTTCTGGGGAAACTGAATCTGTACCAAATCTTACATCAATCAATGTTATTGAGATAATTCAATAAAAAACTAAATATACCCTTTTTCACAGCTGCTGCCATTGTGACATGAACTAGTAAACACAGGTGTTACTAATAATACTAATTAAGGTTCAGTTCCATTTAGTGTAGCAGAGCCTTTCCAGTGAGTCTACATGCACAGTAGCAGCACTCTGGTTGACCTGAATGAACAGAACTGTAATTAGTATCATTGGTAACACCGGTTTACCCAAATATTTCATGGCAAAATGGCAGCAGCTGTGAAAAAGTAAAAATTAAAAGTCAGGGGCTCAGTCAAATCATTTGGCTACAGCATCTAGGAACCATTAAGGTCTGTAAAAATACTTTTACTAATGCATGAACTAGATGTTGAGATATTTGACAGATAAAATAAAAAATTTAATTTGAGCTGAGAATCACCAAAGTCATTTTAACATCTCTATCAAACTTGATGATAACCTATCTGATAAATGTCAGGATATTATCATCAGTATGAAGTTAAAACACTCCAGTCCATAATAACAGAGTGGGATATTTTTTATTTAGATTCAAATAAACTTAAGTTGTCATTTCCTAGATGTGACATGATGGGATCTAATAGAAAAAAAAAACCTATCTGTGACGAATGATCATCCCTTTCCCTGATAAATGTACACATTTGAAAATGGCAATAAATACTCTAGTATTTACCAATTGTTTCTAATGGCCTAAAGAAGACAGAAACACCACTTTCCAAAGTTTGATTCTGGAAATGATCCGACACTGTGAGGAGTGCTTGATATTCTGGAGACATTAAAAGAAAACTTAAAAACACTGAATAAATAAAACACTGGAGTCGCTAACCTAACACGGCGGAATATTTGATGTTGAAAATGAACAAAATGCTCAAAGACAAAAACAGTTGAGGAATTTCAAAAAGGTACATTCAACAGTATGGCACATCAGCAGATTCCTACCAAAGCTCAAACGCAGAAAGCAGAGAATAACAGAGTACTGTTGCCGCCTAATGCTGAATATATTACCGTACTGTTGAGTCTACCTTTTTTAAAATTTATGGATAGCTGCAAAGGGCGATTCTACAGAAATACAGGTCACATACACATAGCAGTCTACTCTGGATTCACACTTAGGAAAACAAATATTGCCATTGATTTCAACAGGGATTACAGGATTCAAATGTAATGATAAATAGGTCTGCAGTATGGAAACGATACATCAGATAGTTTAAAAACTGATGTTGTGACAACCAGACTATGATTGTCCCTGTGCAACACGTTTCACTAAGTGATAATAACCCATGCACTTCAGCCCTCGCTGTACATAACTGTACCATCAAGTCCCAAACTGTTCATATTAAGACCATATGTGTCTGTGGGCAAGAACAGAAGTCTAGTTTGCGCTTTTTTTTTTAGTTTTTTAGTGATGATAATGAATCACGTGGCAGGTATAAATTAGCTGTTAAAGCCCAGAATCTAATTCACAGAAAAAGCTAATGCAGCTCAGCACGCAGCTCAGATTCTCACAGATAATGCACACCTGAAAATGTCTACCTAATCTGTAAACACTCAAAAGTTGGGAACCAAGATTGAGAAAAATAAAAATAAAAAGAAAGAAAGAAAAAACTTTATTTAAATCCCAAGCATCAAAAATCACCACACCATTAAAAATAAAAAATAAAGGAAAGAAAAAATAAACTTGTCCATTCAGGTTTGTCCTTATTTTCCATAAAAGTTAAACTATAGTGCTATGAGAGGAACGCTGCGACCGAGATATTCTCTTAAAACGGGCTAAATGTTTCCGAAATGAAACTCTGCGCTGTGTGTGGGGGTCGAGAGTTCGTCCGCTTGTAATGGCGTCTTGTGTTGCTGAACGGTGGTCTCCAGCAGGTCCAGTGTTCCAGCACTAAGATCATAGTGTCTGGTCTTCTACTGTACATGCAGGTCCTTGTCCTTCATGGTCTGGTTTAAGAGCTCACCAGAACATAAATCATCCTGTTGGGGAATAAAAGAGAAAGTGGAAGTTAAACACTTTATTTTACAGGGTTTTAAATCTTCTTCAGCGGTTTTATTAAAGAGGTAATTGTGACCTAAAATACAGCCACAGTTAAAGTTTCCACAGGAAAAGATTCTGAAGCATTTTACTGGTGTTTTTATGTATTAATCACTTTTTTATTGCCAATGTGTGAACAGCTGTAACATAACTAAAAAAATCAGACTTTCCCCAACTTCCGAAGTTGCTGGCCTGATTTATGCGTTTCAATGAGGGGATATGGGTCAGATTTTTCTGCGAAAACCCAAAGGACGTGACGTTTACATACGTTCCTGAATGCTGCTCCACACAGTGTCCCCACTGTGCAGCTCTAGCTAACATTACGACCAACAACCCAGAGTTCACCACAAAGTCAAAGTTACAGAAATATACTGTGATATTATGTGGCGGACAAACGCCACTGATGTCACTATTTTTTGTTTTCTGAAAGTTACGTTTTTACACTTCATTACACAGATTAAACAAATAAAATATAACGTATTGATTAGTAAGCTTCTGAGGCGCTACCCTCTGGATTTTCTTACCCATCGACAGAATCAGACTAGTTGTTCCCCCTGCTTCTAGTTTCTATGCTAAGCTAGCTGGCTGCTGGCTGTAGCTTCGTATTAACAAGCAAATATCGCAGTATTGATCCTCTCATCCAACTCTGGGCAAGACAGCAAATAAGCGGATTTCACTATTCCTTTAACGAGATCAGTTTGCACAGGATCTGTATTATCAGGAGATTTACTATCTTTACTTTTAATTAGCCTTTTTACTTTACCAATTAGAAGCACGGCAGAAAAACTCTCTCTCCAGTCTTTACAAATAGACATCCCCAGGTTACACATAAAACTCCTGTGCACATTATACTCGTGTGTTTTTGAAACTGCAACCACAACATGAACGCCAACAACAAAGTAAGAAAGCAGAAAACACATTCTGTACCCGTAGAGATAGTAGAAGAATGACAGGAGGTAGAAAGCCAGTTTGCACCAGCCTTCTTTTTGACAGAACGCCAGGATGTCGGCATTCATGATGGTTGTCGGGTCGTAGAGTCCTGGACAGCTCATCACAGGTCTGCTCATATATCTGCATCACAGTGGAAAAGTGTGTTTAAGTCAGATTCTACTGCGCTTTAAGCATTAATGTGTCAGGTAATACAGACTTAATTGAATATTATTAATGGATTTCTCTTAAAGATACCCACCTCCAGACATGATAAGCCAGCAGTGGCAAGTTGAGACAGAGAGTGAGCCACTCGGCCGCACAGAAGAACATCACGCAGAAGAAGAAATGGATGAGATACTCTGGGAGCACCAGCTGGAAAGAGCAAAATTTGAATAAAATGTTAGAATCCACACACGCAATGAACAGTCAGCCCAACTCCTTTGTTTCTCATAACCCTGTATGCAGATTCACTTAAACTGCTAACACAAAATGCTTAAATGACCTAGTGTGGAGTGGAAAAAAAGTATTGACTTGTAAGCTGTTCAGTAAGCTCTTGTAAGCTCATTAGTCAGAAGACAATACACTAGGAAGTTACAGAGCCCCAAAGGCAATGAGGACTTTTCACTAATCTATTTAAAGATCCAGAAATCTAAAACTTGCTCCACAGAGAGTCAAAAACAGGAGTGAATGAGCTGCAGTGAGTTCCTGTGCTGTTAAGCCACTTATCACATTATCAGCCCCAGCTCGATTTTATATATTACTACATATTACATGTGCAAAGAAATGTAAAGCTGTATGTTAAATACACAAACAGTGCTTTATCATGCACTGATCTGACACAGTGTGTAACACAATAAACAGGGTGAAAAATTAAGACCTGCCACCTGCAAATTGGAGGGATTTTGTAAAATGTTCATTGCCTAAACTGAGGGGGGAAAAAGAGCCCCACTTGTCTGACTTAAAACTCCCACAGTGAGGTTTATGCATTACCCTCAGATGTCCTCTGTCTGATGTGGCAAAACAATGAGCAAGGAAATGTGTGTGTGTGGTATTTTTAGCCACGCAGCCAAATCATGTATCACATTTAGCCTTTACCACTAACTTAAAATTGTGATAAATCATGTAGGTTGTCAGTAGAATTTAAAAATCGACTAGATTGTTGCAAGTGGATAGAAAAGGTTAATTTCCCACCCTGGGTATATGCCATGCATCATCAGGTCTGGCAACAAGTAAAAAGGGGAAACCCATCAACATCTTGCTCTGGAGGATTTGTGCAGGTGAGGGGGGAGAAACCTAGCAGATCATCCCACTTTCCTGACAAATGACCATGCTGTAGCACTAGCAATGTTGATGCAGCAGCCTGCCTTCAGGTTGACAGAGTATGAACTGGTGCGGGGTTCAGGGGGGCAGATGAGGCGAGCCACATGGACGCATGCATTCAAAAGAGAGCAAGAGGCGACGAGGGGGGCAACCAACAGCCCACAGATGGAAAGGTGGAGGGGCTGTAGGAAGAGGAAGGTGCAGAAGGGAGAGGAGGGGTGGGGGGGCTATAATGTGTGGAAATTCCTGCACTGGCGCCAAATACAAAACAACTGATCACAGCACAAAAAGAAGTGCCAACTGAGCTGGCGAGGCTTCGCACAGCGGCAGGAGGAGAGAAAGGGCTGCGGGGTGGTGCAAAAAGACTGGCCGTGGTCAAAACTGCAGATAGTACTGTAGACTGCATCATGGATTACTCTGTACTTTTAACTAAAATAACTCCTCCTACCTCTGAAGTCACTAACCAATCAGTGGGCACAAATGTTGCTGAGCTGGTGTGTATTGGGACTCTTCAGCCATCTGTTTCTAAACCACAGGTGATGTATAGAGCCAACACTGAGTTCATACACAGTAGCTTAATGGTGCTAATTGCTGCCTCCCACCTCAGAGAAAAGTCAAATGTCACAATGTATTAATAAGGTTTAATGATTTATGCTATTATTTCCTCCAACAACAATCAAGCATAACCTTATCTACCATGATCTACAGGTAATCTGTGTAGGATTTGTTCTTTTTGTATTCGATACAGAATCCAGAATAACAGCTTATTTTTCCATACTTTTATGCTCAAGTCAAAAATAGGATATTAAAAAAAACGGGCCACAGAATGAAACTAATTTCGATATTTAATGATTTGTGTAAACACGAAGTTACTTCACAACATGCCTGAGAATCCTCCAGTATTTAAGATTTCTTCAGTATCAAAGTAATTTAGTGATAGTTGTCAGTAAACCTAATAGTACACTGCAAAAATGTATCTGTTAATAGTTAATTTAGCAAACTTAATTTTCCAAAATGCAAACAAACCTTTGTTTCCTGTTTTTGGACTTGAGCATAAAATCAAAAGTATGAAAATAAGCTGTTAGACATTTTTTGTGTTGAATTAACAAAATAAATGTATAATATAATTGTCTGTTTTTGATTCTATAAGAATATGAAAAGAACAGACAATACACAGATTACAACGTTACAAAGTATCCACGATCCATCCTCAAGTACTATCCACTATTCAAAAAAAAAAATCCAATTGCCTGATCTGACTTTACATAGCTACTGTGAATATTGTTGTGTAAAAGCTTTGTCAGGACAGTGTATAGGCCTCGTGTCATGTTACTGTTGTCTCAAACTCCAGACAAGTTTCCTGACTGTCTGAGTTTACTGGGAATTTTACTGTACCAGTAACTGTAACACTATTTGCAAACAAAGGGTAGGTTGTAATAAAAATCATGCATGTTTTGAGCATTTGCAAGTCTTTTCAGTTAACAGCTACACTTTATCTATAAATACAATAACATTGGATATTCAAGCCTAGAGAATATTATCCACTAGCACAGACACTGTGGCTCCTATACATAAAAAAGAAGCTTAACACAGCTTAAAACAGTCAATTTAATTGGTTATAAGAAGTATAAAATAGACAAATAGAAACGCAATCTATTCTTTCAGTTCATGCCCATAACCTCGAAGCTGCAATTTAAAAAAAGGTCTTCAAGAATAGAAAAAAAATGCTCTTTAAAGAAATATTTAAACACAAAATATTCTTACAGTCAAAAATGCTTACAACATTTAATAAAATAAAATGAAAATACTCAAAAAAAAAAAAAAAAAACTAAGTATAGTATATACTACATGATAGTAAAAAGGAAAAACCTGAGGCACAGGTGGCACGTTGTCTAATCCCGAGCTGCACTCTGGCCTTTACTCTGAGATTAGTTAACTGAAAAGACGTTTGCAAACACTTCTCCGTGCAAAATGACAAGACTGCAGACTTGAGTTGAACTGAGCGGGCATTTTAAAGATTGGTACAAACCTTTAATGCAATTTTGACTCTTTTAATCTTTTTGACCTTTTCAACTGTCTTTTTGCCGTTAACAAAGTGTAAAAAAAAAAAAGAAAAAAAAAAAGCAGATTAGGAAAAACGAAACAACAAAAGGGCGTTAGAGTTTGACAGCTTGACAAGATCACTGAATTCATAACAGGCAGGTTATTTAGCAAAACAGTGCAGAGAAATGATTGAAAAAGACAGAGATAGGCGGATAAAGTTATCTTAAAATAAAAGAAAAACATTTCAACAGCATATCTGCATGCAGTCAAAGAGGCAAGGAAGGTGTGTCGGGTACAGTAGTGTTACTTACCGGATTTAAAGTGTTACATTGATCTATAGGATTCTTGTAATCAGTCTTCAGTTCATCAAATGCTATTATCTGGAGGGGGAAAAAAGATAGTCACAATGTAACAATTTATAATTTAATACACTTACATTTAATATGCACAAAATGCTACATGAGCCAGTAGGACAAAACATTTACAGCAATGTTAGTTTGATGTATTATTTTTATTTTCATGCCATATCTTATTTTATATTAAGAGTAGTACCTTCACATAGAAACTCCTTTAATTGTTCAGTATGTACAATATTTCAAACAATCAGCCCTTTCCTAGTATTATAATCCCTCTCACAGAACAAACTCCTTCTATATTTATCTTGATATTGTCTAATTAGCCTGCAAGTAATTGTGTTCACTGTCATTTCATTGCCTAAATAAACACATATGTATATCACACATGTCAGTTTGAAAACATATGTTAAATGAAACCAGAAAGGTAAACATCACTGTCATGTTACTGTATGTTTGGACAGTAGACACTGTAAAGTATGGGAATCTCACATCGTACCTTTTAACAACAATCCAAAAACTATTTACAATAATTAATAATGTAATTCAGAACTGACTAATCGATCAGCTAAGTGTTTCACTGTCACAGTGTGTACAGGCAATGTAAACAGTTCCTGTTGTTGTTGTTGTTTACCCATAAAACTTTGACTGCTGCATCAACACAATAAACATGACATTTAAATGTACATTCACAGTTTTATTCCAGGTCATTTTTATGATCCCGAATGGTTAATTGGAATAACTGGAATTGGTGCAGAATTCTCGTTTACTTCTAACAACTAACTAACTGTACACCTGCTGTGGGACAATCGTGAGTTAACTAATATGTAACTTTTTGAGCCACGTAACCTTAAAGTTTACGCCGCACTGCTTGTGTTGAAAGACCGTAAAATTACGAAACAAAGAACTGTGACAGGTCGGGAAACCGTTGACAGCAGCACCACGGAGCGGTTACCCGTTCCAGAATTCCAACTTAGCTAAGTCGGCTAGCTAGCTGGCTGGCTACTAGCCCAAAACAAATCATTAAGACAAGTCCTGACAAGTTATAAGACGTCTTCTGTAGTCACACTACGGTTAATAAAAGGCGAAAACTGTTAAAGGAATGATAAAAAAAAAAAAACGATGTAAAAACTAAACAGTGGTTGTCTTGGTGTTTTAACTGCCAGCGAATTCTAACTGCCAACCAACGGCAGGGTGTGTGTGTGTGTGTGTGTGTGTCATTCATTCTAGAACGTTACGTATTGTGAGCACGGGGCGCGAGGGAGTTCGGCCTGGGTACGTTCTATCCGAGACGTTGCCAAGATCGGCGGGTTTTTAGCTACGTAGATTTAAAACCCCGAAAACGTAGCCCGGGTTGTGTGTGGCTACAAAGCTGGCCTAGCGTTAGCCCGGTGTTTGCCAGCCTTCCCCTCTCGCTCTTTCACCCAGTTCAATCAGCGCCGTTGGGGCGGCAGGCCAACGGTTCTTGTCCAAAGTGGTCTCGACGTGTACTTACATGCCAGATAGCGAAGAAGATAAGCGCCGCCGTGAGCAGCAGAGCGAGCATGTAACAAAAGGCCGCGAATGTGAACGCCATTTTTTTTTCTCCTCCGGTTCTGCTAGTCGGTTCCTGGCTCGGTCGGCGGGTGATGCAGGCAGCTTCGCAACCGTTTTGAGATTTGTCAGCTGGTCTTCTTCTTCAGAGAGTGTTTAGCAAGCTGGCCATCCTTATCGTTGCATTACTGCCATCTTCTGGAGTTATTTATGTCTTTCAGGGTTTCTTTGAGTCCACCAGTCCTTCTCTTCTCCCAATTACAACGTTCTTTAAATTCGTTATGGATAGTTTCAATAATTAACTGCTAAAATTCTAACATCTTATTTGTATTTTCTCCCTGTAAAACCAAAACATCCAATGCACTTACAAATTATAGTGTAATATACAACTTAAAAACAAGACACAAAAACAAAATACACTTGCAGTGATGAAACATTTGATTCCATTACAAAATGATGAATTATACATTATTATACGACTCGGTCTTCAAATATTCTGCCTTCTCTCCCAAGCTTGGCACAAAAAGCTTGCTACACGAAAGGCTCTCTTCTTGATGCACAATTCCAGTTTTTCATAAACATCAAACCAAAAGAAATCATCATTAAATGGACATTTTACTAGAATCACTATCAGGTTTATTGCCAAGTGGGTTTTCACATACAAGGATTTTGCCTTGGCAAGTTGGTGCACAACAATGACACATAGAAAAAATATAAATCGATATAAAAATAGAGACAATATATACAAATATAAAAGGAGAGACAATATGTATGTAGCTCATGTCCTCCTTACAGGACAGGAAATCAAAAAGTGAACCTTATGCTCAGTTTCACTTCGATCACACAGCAAGCAAAGTCCTCTGGAGTGGCATTAAACTCTCTGGGGCTAATTGTTATGTTCCTGAACGCACCTTTTTTAAGTTATACACATAAGTATTCAACACTGTAACTGTTATTTATGAGACAATACGTTTGTAATTTTGGTTTATATCATATATCAGACCAAAGAAAGAATATCAAAGAAACTTTTTACTCCGAATCTCCTGAATATCACAAAGTAACCCATTCAAGTAAAATAAGAATTTCAACTCATTAGCCCAGAGAAGACAATTGGAAATGTACCAGTTAAATATATTTATGAGCAGACTTCTTCACAAGCCTATTCCTAAGGCAAAGCATCTGACATTTATGTTTGATGTTTGGAGGTTTCCATCCGATATCTCCAATATATATATTATATATATCTATAATATTCCATTATTTATTTAATCTGATTTGAAAACAAAAGAAGTCACTAGAAACCAGAGTGGTAAACATCACTGTCATTTTATTTGGACAATAGGACAATAGACACTTTATAAAGTATGGGAAAATACAAATATCTCAAGTTTCACTGATGCCATGAGGCAGCTGGTAATGATAAATGTCTCATGTGTGTTTTTTTTATTAAAAAGGAAAGAAAATAGTAGGCATTTGATCAGAGAGGACACCAAGAGCTGAACAACACATTTGCAGGTAAAAGACTCAAGAGGCCTAATATACAACAGTTTCACCACATAGAAGGGAAAGCTATTAGATCCACAGGACATAACCAGATACATGGCTCGATATCAATATATTGGGGAGCTTGATTTTGATACATGATCAATGGAGAGTCTATTACAACCCACTTCCATTAAAAATAGCAGTAGCAGAGGGTTTCTTCAAAGAAAGCACTGTCAGTATGTAAAATATTTTACATATAGTAAGAACACAGCTGAGACCAGATGTTTGAGAAGAGTTCCCCATTTTTTTTTAAGAATCTGTGCAAATAAACTATATCAATCTAATCAAATTCACTGAATGTAAGATTTTCTGTAAAGAGATGCATGCAACAAAGACTCAAATATGTCATCAGGAAACTTCTGTCAGGCTTATGAAAACTGTTCACTCATAAAACCCATAAAGGACAGCATACTATCAGCTCAAGTAAGAACAGAAACCATTATAAACATGAGAATTACCCATGTTGGAGTTGTGTTTTTCTGTTACAGCAGCATAATACTGGATAATGTGGAGCTGACTGTGTGGAAATATTAGCATCAATGGTATCAGTAGACAGTAAAACAAGTGATTACAGTTAGACCCCATTGTTCCTGCTGGATTAAACCCTGTCCTGACATGTAAATCATAAATTATTAATGTCTTAACATGTGGCATCTATAAATGATTTACATGAAATGGTTTGATTGTGCGCATATATCTTTGAGCCACATCTCTGGAAAAAGAAACTTTCTATTATTTTTCCACAACCAAGATAACACTTAAATAGAAAAAAAAATAACTTTACAGATCAGAGACTTAAAAACATTAGTGTCTTTAAAAAACAACAACATTATAATCCCTCAAGCTTTTCCAATCAACAATTTTTCTCAAAACATATTTGGGTATATGTTGAGTATCATTTTGGTCTTATAATTTTTTTTAAAAACTGACCTAAACATGCCAAAAATAAAAATTAAGACAAGGCATTGGTATGGTAGACTTAGCAGTATGACATCATACATGGGGTGGTGACTTGCCGCCTTCAGGCTTTAAATCACCACAACCCTCCCTTATCAATTTCCAAAGTAGGAGTTTCCCAATAAGAGATGACACTGACGAGCGAACACAAATTAATTTGCGCCTATTATTCTTTATAAGGGTCAGACCAATATACAGAGCTGATATTAAGCTTTAATTAAGAATCAGAAATCTGCCACTCGAGTCATCCACCACCAGTATAATGGAGGTTTCTCTCTCACATGAAACCAGCCTTTAGCACCTGAAATACAATTTAAAGTACATTTTATGTAGCATTAACTATCCGGGGCGGGTCACCCTGCTGTTAAGAGCCGCTAATCCTTAAAAGTATTAGCAACTGGTTAAGTGTGTTGGATTTGTTTAAATCCTGTTTTAGAGGATCTTCAACAGGAAATAAGGAAGAACTATTAGAAGAACTACAATAGAGTTCATAGGCGTTTGGAAAGTGACACATTTTATGTTATGTTTTAACTCTGTAAAGTTAAATTTGACATATTAACCTCAATCTGTGTTTAATTTAAAACCCAACATGATAGAATACAGATCAAACGCAACAAAAACTAACTCGGATATTAGATATTGGCACAAAATATGAGCTGCTGGCACATCGTGTACACAAATGTCAGTATCAGCCTTCGAAAAGCTACATTGGTCAAACCCTGTTCTGTATGGAAAATGCAAATTGCCCAGATGCTGTTCTTTACCTACCAAAGTCTAAATATTAAGCACAACTGGCATTTGGAAAAGTCACAGCCATCATTCTCAAGGCTGTGACTACCACTAAGCAATCAAAGTGGCTTTACATCAGAATGAAGCACAACATTCATTAACACTAATAACAGCAATAGCTATAATGCACAATATTAGCTAACAATCTCCCTAAAGACGCAGTAACTCACTTATAGAGTAGCCCAGTAGATTAAAAAGAGGGCAGGCAATGCCCCCTGTGTGCAGTGTTTTCAAGACTGTCATGGTCGCTTGAGACGGAGGTTTGTTGTAGGTAATAAATTGTTCAGACTGGAATGTTTGAGTGGAAATATTGTTTTTTAGGAGTGTTATATCGTTGTAACAAATATGCAGGTCAAAGGCAGACTACAGCTTTACCCAGAAGTCACACTGTTTTTCCCTAAACAGAGACAAAAAGATGTGATCTGAGGATGGACTAACAGGCAAATCTGCAGCGTGATAAGCAGCACTCGAGGGCCCCTCGAGCCAGCTTTTTCATGTGCACAGAAGAAGGTACGACACATCATAACTCTTAGGACTGCCACTTGTCAAATGTTCTTAGTGTTATCGTTATTTACAGTTTGTTACCTAAATTATAATTTAAAATGAATACTGAAGGCAAGACTGACTAAAGCTCTATATCGTTCTCTGAATTGTAGCTATGATTGTTCAGATGTACTGGCAGGAGGTTTGTTTACACCACAAAAGGAAATTACTGCTATAAAGTATATGCTTATATAACCCTAAATACAGCAAAGAAAAACCAAAAAATATCTAAAAGTAAGACTCCCTCAAATTATAGGGAAAATTATTAAAACATAAACGGGTGAAACTCAGGAGAGGTTCAGAGTTGCAAAAAAATAGTGTAAACTACTTAAGGAACATGTTTAGGAAGGGCAAATGATCAATTTCTGTCCATCTTAAGAGCTATGAGAGTGTTAATTGAATACAGACACATAACTGGCACATGGAGAGATTGTATGGGACACAACAGCAGACCTGTGTCAAATAGTATTTTCAGTTTTAGGCTGCTAGATGGGTGAGAGGTTTAGTTAGTGCCACACATGTTCGATAGTCACAGAGAAGTATACAAACTCCTGTGATTGTCTGAACCTTCTGGTGCACCGTAAACTCTACCCAAGAGGCCCAAAACTGAGTACAGGAAGTATTTGCAAACACTATTTAAATCAGGTCTGGTACAAAGAGGAGGGAAACATTAACTGTGGTGTGTTCTCCCCAAGAGGTGACACAAGTTGTGCAATCTGGATTCTCCTCACATCCCAGACCACTGGATGAGATGACTTTAGCCAAAGAACCCAAGTTTCTCTCTAAGCCATTCCTCTGTTAGGTCCTCTGTGTTTCTGATCTCAAACACCTGGTAAAAAACACAAAAAGGTACAAAGAGCAGGATTTTGACTTTTCTTTTAATACAATAAGGGTAACGTCTCAGAATATAGTTTAGTGTAAAGTATCGTACCAGCTTATAATGCAATATATTTTACATAATGTAATAAAATATTCTAAATGGATGAAATGCAAACAAGACTAAGAGTCTATAGCCATACTAGCGGCTCTGTGAGTTTGTACTTACATAGATGCTTTGAGCTAAATGTTATTAAATGTTTTAAAAAGTTTTATTGTTTTAGCATGCTAACATTGCTATTGTACTAGGAACAGCAAAGTACAGCTTGGGAATGCTGATTGGGAAGTGTGGGGAAGGTGTCCTAACGCTCCGGGGTCTAATGCTTTCAGGTCTGAATGATTAGGTGGCGTGGATGAAAAGTTAAGATGTTAAGATGATGATGATGGAAATTCATCCAATAGACTTCAAGATATGGATATATATTTTGGACTGTCAGACCTAACAGTTGTGTTGGTAG